AATATTAAGGAACTACCGTTAAATTCGGCCGAGAATTTATAATTAAAAATTCGCATTTTAGCAGAGACTGGGCGAACTATCGCATTACAAAGTATAGATTCATAACGTGTTATAGCTCAATCGTCTCATACCGAAGTAAAAGGCATTAAGAGTTTTCAAGTAATAATAAAAATGAATAATAACGCTTTCATCATCGCATTGGCATGTTTCATAATAACTATTGAATGTTTGTTGATTCTCAAAATGTAGAATATGCATTTTAAATCAGGCCATGGAAAAATTAGATTTATATAAATAATAGGACTGAAACAAGTAATTGATTTATTGACTGATTTTGTTACAGTATTCACTTATGGTGTAAGATTCTGCATGTAAGTTACTGTACTACCCGTGATATCAGAACTTAAAAGCAATAGTTTGCCAATATTATTTCTGACGGTACCTATTCAAATTTTATTCCACCCTACCTCCCGAATAGATTGTCGAGTTTTGTGCTTAAGTCAATTTAACGCTATTAACAAGATGGTAAATGCCTTTTAGCTATTATTCTCAGACATATTGACCAATGCTATACTAGAATGAAATAGCGACAACATGAGGTTTAAAAGCTAATGATGAATTTTACATAATTTTATCAGTTAACAAGAGTAGTAGGGATGATAATATGAGGTTTAAAGGCTAATAATAAATCTTTCTGTAATTTTATCAACTAAAATGTGTCTTAAGGATAAATTTCATAGCTTCACTAGCTTTATAGTATTTTCTAGGGCAATTTTAAGGTATTTGCTATATAGACTTGGTGTAATTAGTAAATTTTATAAGTAGAATGTTAAAACTTTTCTAGAATACGACTTGCTAATTAATACTTAGTCTTCGAAACCTCGAGAGCCCGTCGAAGCCGATAAAATGTGCAGGTTGAAGATTTGATAAGATAGCATTCTTGTAATCGGAACAACCTAGAAATCTTCTTAATCAAAAGTTCTCAATTGAAGCCTGCACTGCAAATCTGTTTTACTGATAGGTTACAGTATTTGGTAGTCTGAAATAGACAGTGTAAATAGATTTTTTAAGTCAGTGTAATAGCTCACCTACAGATTTGCTTACACATTTTCTGTATTTTTAAATTATTTACTCGATACATTCAGCTAGTCTAATAAGATTGCTGGGTCGCTATCTTCTGCAATTACTATTGCATCAAAGCTATATAACATTGACTAGGGTGTAATTCACAATGAATAAAAATCGCTTTGCTACGCTTCAAATATATTCCAATATTGCTGAATGAGTAATATCAAGAGATGCTAGTATAATCTAGCATAACACTGCATTAACCAGAATAACCGATTATAACAAACTTACGCAATTTTATCGAAACATGAGGTACATATATCTTAATCGCTATTACAAAAATGATTTGCTTTCCATCTGACAGAAAGTCATTACAAGTTCCCGAAATAGTTATAAAAGAGTTAAAAGCAGTATCGATTATACGAAACGTTGTTAGGATTGGCCAGAAACTTTGCTCAACTTATCAGAAACGAAAACATGAATAATTTGAATACAATCTACTGTACTCTACTATTCATCTATGACTGATTTAATCAAAATTAATTTTAAGAAATGCGAATGTAGTAATGAAAGATATAATTCCGACTTAATTAACTTTTATAGCACCTAAAACTACGTTATTGGTTACGCTAAGGAATGTAATGTAGGCGGAGTGGAAAACCAAGATTGTTGATCTTTAGCATTGATACTAGTGTAAGGACAATAAACGACAATAAATTTTAATCAATATTGAACTTTCCTAACGTCGATACTATTTTTAAATATTTACTTACCTCTTGCCTATCGTGATCTTCATAAGCTATTTTCGGAGCTAATCCAATATCGAGATGGAAGAAAAGAGTGATTAGTCATCGTTTCGAGTAAGTACAATTACTATATTAACACCAAGTTTTCAATCACAATGGAATAACAAGATTAAAATTTTGGCGCCTAAATGATCTATCGATACTAACATTTTTGACTAGTTAATAGATCATGATGATCAGGAGTAATTGATCTTCGCCTGCAAGAAAATTAGTAAATTATCCAAATTTTGCGAATATTTTACAGTTAATAGTAATCATTGTCAAAGCACACTTCGTATCCACTTACGTCTTTGCTTTGTTATGGCGATACAATAAGAATATAAACCCAATGATAAGTAGGATACCTATAATTGATCCTAGAGAGATGCCAACAACTGTACCAGCTAGAATGTGAAGAATGAGTTTGTGATAACGGATTTTAATTGCGTTAAGTGCTGCTTTATATTCCCATAACACTTTAAAATCACCTTATCGTAATTAGCTAAAATCACTATAGAGTCTGCTTGGAATCTAAGGTACTATCACGACCATATTTATGATTATGATTATAACGACGTGAAAGACTGAAGAGAATTATTCACTGCAGTTTCTAATAACTCTAGCGAAGCTATTGACTTACATGATAGTGAAACGCTGCCTCGTACGCATCTATCTCCACTTGCTCCTGGAGTCGTACAACTTAAATATCATAAGCAAGCAGGTCTTAAGTTTAATTCTTTGATTATATATAATAAAACGGATCATGATTACTCTTAATTAGCAGTAATAAAGTAAATTAGCTTGGAATGATCGATTTTTATATACATATACTGCCAATAA